AGGTGGTCCCGCCAGCGGGAAGATGGGCACCAGCACGGCCATGTAGGAGTAGCTCAGCACCGGCGTGATCACATTGGTTACCTGCCATGTGGACAAGGAGAGGCTGAGCATGGGACATGTCCCTGGTGGAAGCCCCTGACCTGGAGGAGCACAGTTTGGGTGGGCACCAGCCACTGACCCTCATCGTGGCACCTCCTCGAGGAGGAATGTGGCCCATGGTGTGCTTGGCGGGGAGCCTGGCTGAGCCTCAGCCCCTTCCCGTGCCAGGAACGCAGTGTTCCCATGGATGCAGCAGCCTGCTGGGACCAAGACCAGCATCAAGGCTGGGGGATAATGACATGCAGCCCCTCCTTGTCTAACCCCATCGTTGCCAGCAATCCAGCAGTGCCCAGCACTGTGCCCTGCACTGTGCCCCAAGCCAGCATGGGACGGTTTCCCCAGTGGAATGAGACGGGGCTTCTCTCAGCCCACCACTCCCCTGCCTTCCTGCTGGCTGCCCAGGTGGGCAGAAGTCAGGCATTGCCCTGCAAAACTAGTTGCCAGCTTGGGCCCAAGGCCTTATGCCAGGAAAAATTGAGCCTGGGACTTAGGGACAGGCTGACCTTGCAGCCCAGTGAGACAGGGACATGGTGACACCTTCTCCCTCCCAAAAAAAGCACCATCACCCATCACCACATGCCACTTTTCCTGGGATGTGGCATGTCTGCACCACTCCACGCCCCAGGACCACAGGAGGATGCTCTGGCCAGCCCCAGGGTGGTGACTGTGTCTGTAAAGGGGGACACCAAGGTGGGAGACAGGCTGCCTGTGGCTTACCTCTGCCTGCGTGAAGTTCTTGTCCTTGTCAGCCCCCAGGAGATAGGGGGTGATGAAGCTCTCCCCGGGCCGGATCTGCGTCATGAAGCCGTAGAAGCAGAGGTAGAAAACTTGTAGCTTCCAGTGCTGGTCTGGCACTGTCTCTGATGCTGGGCTTTTGGCATCATCATCCTTCTTGGGCATGGCTGTGCTGGTTCTGCAGCAGGACGGCAGCATTATCCCAGGGACCATCAGCTAGACAGGCTTTGCCGGGCCAGGCAGCCCCTCTCTGGCTGCAGGCGCTCTCCAATGCATCAAAAGCCACGTCGCTGCAGTTTCTGGGGAGAAAGCAGCATTTGGCACAGGCTCAAATTCCTCCATAATTGCAAGGCAAATAAATACTGCTACCTTCTCCCCAGGAGATGTTCTTGCAAGAGGAAAAGCAGCCGCACGTCTCACTGTGCGAAAGCTGGGGGCGGGAAAGGGAGGGCATTTCGGGTGACATTTGTAAATCCCATATAAAAAAGCCTGGATACATGAAGCACCCAGCTCTGCAGCAGGCTCCCATCACCACCTCCTTCTCCCTTTTAAGAATCAGTGGGGTTTTACCCCTTCCCTGAAGTGACACTTCCCTCTGAGCCAAGTTACTCTGCTGCAGACCCAGAGGCAGAGAGATGCAGACACCCTGCGCTGAGGATGCTCCGGAGGCAGAAGGCAGCGCCTGCGGGGATCACGCTGCTTGTGAAAGCAAGTTAATGTGCACACCAAGTGCAGGGCTGCTCGTGTTATACATTAGCTGGGCAGCTGCTGGGACTTTTGCCAAGCCATGGGCAAGCGGTTGCCCCTCGGCTCTCCCCCAGCAGGACGTGATGCTTGGGTGGCATTGCCCGGCCTAGGAAGAATGCAAAATGCCATGAGGTTCACAGTCCAGAGGGGGATTAAATGCTTAAATCCTGAGGTTTGGCTGAAAGAAAGTTGGCAGCATTAGCGAGGTCTGATTAGTGGTCATGGGATGAAAGCAGGGAAGGGAGAAGGCCTGGCCTGGGCGTCCTCCCAGTGCTCCCTAGTCCCACAAGTCACCAGCAGCGCTTTTTGAGCCATAAAAATCCATGTGTGCCAATCCACGTCACAGGAGCAAGGTCTAGAAACCCGATTACCCTGCTAATTGTGGAAGGACTAATCATGGTCATTAAAAAGTAAGTCCATGGTCCCAGTCTGTGCCTCCCTGCTGCCACCCTGTGCAGCAAGACTAGGGGGGCTCACCTCTGAATAGCACTCCTCCCACCGCAGGATAACACATGAGGCTAACAGGGAAACAAGCTGGCGCAGGTGCTAGCATGGGAAAGTCAGTCGTGACCGAAACCAAAACCAGCAGCAGGAAGTGGGGTGCCCATTCCACCTGTCAAGGACTCACCGGTCCAGCAGCATTCTCATAGGATTGCAGCACCGGTGCCTAAGCATTGCCAAAATGTGTGCGTCCTGGAGCTCACGCCTGGGCAAACAGCCCCTGTCTCTTCAATAAGTCCCTGGGGAGCAGGGTAGGGATCCAGGGCTCACTGACGGCCAGCCAGATTGCCCAGAACCGGTGCTGGCTTGGGCGCCAGATGGAGCACCGCAGCCCCTCTGCTGTGCTGGGATGGGCAAGGGGCAAGAAGCAAGGAGCAGGGGCTAAACCCCCCCCCAAACACCTACCCTAGCACCATGTCTGAGACTCCTGCCAGATACAACTGCCTGGACTATGCCCCATCGCCCACTCATTCTCCACGGGAGTGATCGTCACCTCCAGCAGCCGCTCGCTGTGGGGCAGCTCCTGCTACGCGCTCTAGGACACCGAGGGGCTGTTTTCTACCCTCTGCGTCAAACCCATTTGGGAAGCAAATGCCTCCTGTTTCCAGAATCCATATCCAAGATGGATACACATGTTCATCTCTGGCACAAAGGATATCCACACTAAAGCTGGGATACAGTTCCATGCTGCTGTCCCAGTGCCACCGTCCCTGGGAGCTCCAACTCCTAACTCCTGCAACTTGTGTCCCCAAACATGCAGGGACTCTAGCCTCAAACCCACCTGGCCAGACCCAGCTCCACCTCTCCACACCATCCACAGAGCTGCCACTGCTCGAGGTGAGCAAGTGCAAATCCCAAGGGATGCTCCCAGCTCGGTGCTGTCATCCCTCTGCCCCGGAGCAAGCCAGGCAGAGGCGAGAGAGCAGAGCACGAGCAGTTATCACCCCATGAACCTGGTTATCACCGGGTTATCATGGTGTGACCGTGACAAGGGATCACTGTCAAGCCATGCGGTTGTCAACCTGGGGCCACAGGCGATGCAGGTGGCTGAGCTCAGACACAGGAGCCCTGAGGAGCCATGGCCACCATGGTCTGGAAGGAACAGTCCCTGGGGAGGAAATACTCTCCCTGCAGCTGCATGTCGGCGACACAGAAGTGACATCGCCTAAGCACAACGCATTTTTGGGAGAGCTGCCAAGCGGGCAAGTCCCTGGGGCACCTTTCCCAAAACAGGATAGGGGAAGCTCCACAAAATACACCTTCACACACCATGCAGACATCTATCTACCTTCCTCCCCCAGCACCCAAGGGATGGGTGGCTCCTTCAGGTGCTGGGGGGTGGTTTGGATGCACGTGTTAGAGGAAGGTGCTGGGGGCCCGGGAGAGGGTGAGCGGCACCAGCTCTCACCCTGAGACAGGGTGACCTGTGGACCCTGCAGGCACCCCACATCTCCAGTATCCCGAGCACCCGGGGGCACCCACATCCTCGGCACCCCAGGTACCCCAGGGACACCCCATATCGCCGGCAT